ATCAACTAAGGATGATGATGATAGAAACACGAAAGTTGGGCTGAAAAACCTCGTCGACAAGTATTTTACTTACACAGGTTTTTGTCCCAAAACTGAAGGTTATCAAAAAATAAAAAAATCAAATCAAGTATTGTAATAGCTTAACATGAAGTATTTTGTGGTCATGCAAGGTTTCAAGAAACCAGTAATGATTATGTGCTCAAAGAATTAGCCATCCTTTCGCTCAGTGCTAACGATACGGAAGCTCAAGTAATCCTTTTTCAAGCACCCTTTACCTGGCGAAAATTACCACAAAATTATAAACATAAAATTTATACCTTGAACTTTGCTATCACAGACTTACCTGAGACTAAGAAAAAATGAAGTATTCAGAAATAGAAAAAATTTAACAGGAGAACCTTGAAAATGCTACAAAGATATTTGTTACAAGAGATCTGAAACAAAAGGGGCTTGAAAGATTTGGCTTTCAAGTCACTGATATGACAGACTATCCACCGTTTGAACTCCCAAGATTGGTTACTACTTTCGCACACCATAACAGAGCCTACAACTCCATGTGTGCTCTTAATAATGTTAAGCGAATGAAAAAGTTTTATTTTAGTATGAAATGGGTTGATGTTGATGACGATAATGTTACTAATGAAAAGCTGTAAGAAATATACTGTATTTCAAGAATAAGATATCAATAAACTCATTATTGTAAGATATGCATCTTTGTAAGACTAGTATGTAAGTGTACATTATTTTTTTTTAAATAAACTGATTGAGTTAAATAATAAAAAAATATTCAACAATTATTTTCCTATCTCTCCACATCCGACATTATCATGCAATGTGCTTGCTTACAGGAAATATTTTAATGTGTACAAACTATCGCGTGCGCACAAGCTGCATAAGATTTCTCATATCAAATAGCAACTTGAGCCACCCTGAAGTTGAGAACGTGAGCAACAGCATGAACCCTCCCACCAAGTTGAGAACGCTTGCGCTGAGCAAAGTATTACCAACGAAGCATTGCCAGCCAGCACTAAAACACCTAGCAAGGGGTAGCAAGCAAAGAACGTCAGTGGTAGGGGGAGGGGCTACCTGTTCTTAATCGGCGTCGAAACTGGAACAGCTGTTCTAGAAGCTGCATTGCCTATCTACTAACATTGATTTGCGTATTCAATACAGGAAATGGCAACACAAATGCATGATCCAGTTTCCATCACACCAGAAGATAAAAGTGATACGATTCCAAAACCTCCTATTAAACGGAGAAAACGGGATACAGCTGATGTTGTTACCAGTGATAAATACATTGCAGAATTACGTACTACTCAAGATAAAAAAATTAAAAGGGATCCAAAGAAGGCAGTTCCAAAAACTAAAATTAAAAAGGAGCCAATGAATAGAAGAATCACCAACGTTAATTCTATAGCTACGTCGAAGCCTTGCAATAATATCGAGAGAGAACCATTAATGCAGTTTTATTCAAATATTCAAAATACTTGTTACACTAAGTGATTCTTTTGTCAATTCAGTTGCTATGAATCCTATAATCAGGCGTTATTAAACTGGCGAGACTGAAGAGGTTTTTTTCGTATATATTTCATTTTAATAAAGCTTCATTTTTATAATATTAGAGTGTAACATTGTTGTAATATTGACATAAAATTATTTGTACTAATCACAAAATTTATGAGATTAAGAAAAGATTTACGATGATTTAATAAATAAATATTTCATGTTTTGAATAAATTTCTTATGTTTGTTAAATATCATTAAAAATTAGTTAATATGAATACTATTGTTGACCTACCACTGAATTATTTCAATCATCCTGCGCTCATCGTACCCTACAGCTATCTTCACTGTTCCCGAGGAGCAGAATGAGCATTTTTAAGAACTATATATTATAAGACGATAACTAATTATTTATTAATTCATATGTTTTTTATTTTGGGTAGTTTTATTCTATATGACACATTCCTAAAGATGCTCAGCTGGAAAATTAGATTTTAGGTGGAAAAAAATTGTAAGAGTGTAATGAATAATGGGTGCCCGTACGATCACAAATTTAAAGAAAGTAGACGTGTCAGCTTAGTCTTGAATAATATATTATTCCAGGAGACTCCTCTTCTGACTCCCATGCTTACTCTTAAGCGTCATTAGAAAAAAAAAAAAAGTAAAAAAAAGACAACGTAAGAGTGTCACTTTTTTCAAATAATTTAGCCAGTATTCTACTGTATTAAGACGGCCTCTTAAGGACCTAAATATTAATAATTCTTGCATCAATTTTCTAATATTATTGATGTACCACACTAAAAACAGTATTTTACAGGTTAAAATAATTTAAAAAATCTGTACGTATAATTTTAGCAGATTTTTTATTTAACATGCCTATGTTATGATTGAAAGTATTAGAATATTTTTTTTCATGATCAAAAAGCTTTACGTATTAAATGTTATCCAGAGTGGGTCACTTTTTTAACAGTCCTAATTAAACTTCTAAGAATCTTGAAAAGGGATCAAATCAGTCACCTTTATATTTTACCATCAACTTACATTGGTGGACCCACATACATGTAACAATATCAGGAGGATATTATAGCCATACAGTGACATAACATTGTAAATCTGATTTGCTGATTACTGTGACTTGTAATCCTAAATGAGAAGAGTCAAAAAAAATTTTAAAAGATTGTCAAAAAAAATATACCTTTCAATGATATTCCTTATGTAACTGTTAGATTATAATAAACTAAATTATAATGGATATTATTCAACTTAAGAAAGAAGAGTATTTTTGGTACACTGTTTAATGTATACAATAGCATTTGACTCCAACTTTTAATTAAAGTATTTCTCAAACCGTGACGGCAGGTTTCTTGAAATTTAAGTATGTTATTCTAATTATTATTTAAAATAACATACTAGTTTTTTAAAAGATTTAAAAAAATATTTCCAAGTTATTGGTGAAAATGTAAGTTTCGCGACAACATTCTTCTCATAAGAGCCTGTGTATAAGATCCTGAGTTAACTATTTTTTTTCTCATTAAAAGTGACGCTACGGTTCCTGAAATTTTAATATATTATTAACAGAAAAAAAGAAAACACATTACAATTTTTTGGAAACTTTTGTAAGAATTATGTTTTTCGTTCTAATCCCCTTAAGTGACATTTTGGTCAAAAATAACTTTTTTACATTAATTCATTCGTAAGGCGATTTCTAACCTATCTATGTTTGTTAAAGTCATGGACGATTTTTCAGGTATTTTTAATAATTTATAAAATGTTATTAAAGTCAGAAAAAATTTTAATCTTACACCAAAAAATGGGCGTAAGTGGCATAAAATTTAGAATTTGCGTCGGCATGGAGGAGTAAGAACACTTGATGCCTATTTACTATGTAAAGCCAACGAGAAAGCACAATAATTTAAATTGTGAAGTCATTATGTACTCAAGGAGATTTTCGCTCTGGAAAATAGCACCAGCTCGAGCTTCGCTTACAAAGATAAAAGAACGTAAATGCAGAGCAAATGACTTCTAGAAATGTGATTATACTTGATGACTCTTGTGTATTATTAACACATAAGCTTTCAGGGGTCTGTGCAACTAAAAAATCACTAAGTGCACTTAACGCTTTTTTTCGAAAGAACATAGGCCAAGCAAAAGGGGGAAATACAGTTTTCCAAGTTTTCCGTTGGAAAATTGACTTATTTTGAATTAATGCAATGATTGTGCCATGTATACCGTAGAATTACTGTTTCTACTGTTAAAATATTCTATTTTTATCTTATTTAAAAACAATTAGTTTTTTTTATTTTCTCCGTTTAAATAAACTGTACTTAACGACTTAAGTTTCTGAAACAGCAGGCTGTTTGAAGTGCTCATTAAATTTAATTTAGATCGATTATGTTCGTATGAATTATAATATGAGTTACTCATTAATTGTACCTGTACCATCACTTACGCTCTTAGTTAAAAGGCTACCGAGAGTTTGCCTTAACGTAGTAAATAATCGTTTTATTTTTACTGAATTACATTACTGTTACTGCAACTATTTAATTTTTATTCATTCTGATTTTATTCTCACGTTATTTAAATTTCAATTTAATAGCTCAATGCTGATATTTTTATACATATATACACTGAGAAATTTCTTGTCTTAATTGTAAGCTCTGCATTTTATTGTAACTATATAAGCTACTCAGATGAGTAAAGTCCTCTGTCTTGTATATAAACATAATCTAATTTGATTTCTCTTCCTCCCCGTATACTTAAAAAAGGAATATCAGCAGTATACACAGTGTACCAAATAATCTACGGTTCTTACTGACTCAAATGCTAGTTTAAAAATAAACTATATAGGAAAATCAAGAGTTGTTTAACTGCAGTACAAAGATATCCATAATCATTTTTTTTTCTACAACACTAAAATTAACTTGTTTTTTTGCAGCTTGCGAAAGCTATGTTCCTTTTGTTGTTTCGATATTAATTTGAGTACTTATTCATCGTACGTACACATATTGATCTTGCGTTCAACGTGTTAAAAAATTTAAATAGTGATCTAAACATTACTAAAATGGTAGTTACTAATGGACATGGTTAACTTTGAATACAGTTATCTCGCTTATACACAGGATTATCCGTGATAAACAACTTGCATTATTCAGACCAGGCATAAGACTTTACTAAATTTCTAATCACTTTATATTTTTATAAGGAATTATTAAATTAAATAAAACATGAAAAAAGGATATCTATTAAAACTACGTCCAGTTTTATTACAATTAGGTACATCGTATGGCTTGTCTTATGAAAATTTTTCAAGGGGTATCAAAAGAATTATTGTTTAAGTAATAAATTTGTAATTAAAATATTTTATACTTTATGAGAGGTGTTAAGATCATAAAAATGATATAAGCTTTTAATACAAATGACCCGCTCTACAAAAAACAGAGTTATCACCATTCTTTCAAATAAAGATTGTAACGTTTTGTTATAAGAGTACTTACTTTGAGTTGATCATATTTTAAAATTTCCTCAAGTCTATCTTCCTTTAATAATTCTTTCATTTCATCTCTATTCATATCAACCCTATAATTAAAATCTCCACACCAAAATACATAATCATGATCATTTAACGTTCTTCCCATGGGGAAAATAATTTTTTTTGTAATTTCCGCGAAATCTGCATTCCTTTCATTAACTTGAGACTGACCAGCGGCAAAGTGGGCACAAACGAAACAAAATGACGTTGAATATAATACGAAACGAATCGCAGTTGCACCTTTATTACCTGTTGCTCCACCAAGCCCCGTTTTAACGCAGTCTACTGCGACATCTCTTAAGAAATTCGCATGTATAGACCTTATGTATATGTATAAGCATACACCAACCAACTGCTGATAGGTAACAAGAACGTACTCACAATCTCTTGATATAACTTTTTGAAGTTCATCGGCCCATGCTTTCGTATTCTCAGTACTTGCTGCGACAATGTTAGAAGCATTAAGATCTACAATTTCTTCAAAACCAATCGCGAAAATATCAACAGGATCATTATCAATCTGTATATGACTAGATGCTGCTAAAATAATAAGAAAAATTTGTGTACTTTGTTACTATATTATATGTAACTTTAACTAAACACAATCATGATATACTTACCGTCAGATTTTTTTGCAACATCAAGTAACCAGTCCGATAAAGTTTCTTCTTTGTAAACGACGCTTCGGAAATGTTTTCCCCCATTTACATTATAGGTTGCAACAGCTACCTTGATTTTCTTGGTATTAACATATTCTTTGTATCTTTTGCACATTTCATGTAAAATATTACACGGAGCATGGAAAATATTCGGATATAATAACAATCGAGATAGGTCAGAAATTTCGCTATTTAATGCTGAACCGAATAACAAAATATCAATAGCTTCCTGTTTACTTGAGTCTAAAAGATTATTCTGAATTGTTCTAGCTGCTGATCGTGCTCCATCGATAATTTTTGAATTTCCTTGTATGGCTCCAGTTCCAGCATATATTTTACTAATTTCATTCCCATTATTCACCCACATTTGTCGAAAAACTTCTTCAAATCTTGACGTAATCTGTGGTTTTTCAGATAGTCTCAAGGAAATCAATTGTTTTTTCAATATTTCTAATGCAAAATATGTTTGAACGCAATTAGTTCTGTCAAGGCAATCCAAGCAATTGGTACGAATAGTTCCCGTTTGCGACTTAACAATTTTTTCTCCAATCGCATGGAAATAAGAGAAATCATCGATATATTTGGATACTTGATTTTTCAACTTCAATAGATTTTTTAGATTTCCATTTTTGCATTCTTGATGATAATCAAAAAGGATATGAGGAATATCCTGATGTTGTGAATTGCAGTGATGAGATTGAAAAAAGTGGCACAACATCGCTTCACCCTCTTTACTTCCGATCAAATTTGACCCTAAGAGGTTGACTATTACTTGTTTGCCGTAATAATTTTTCAATAAACTTAAATGTCTACTGAAAGCTAATGCAGAAACTTCAAAACCTCTTGAAATTTTTATTTTATGGGAGCCAACTTGAATACCTGGTTGTTCCCAGAATAATGGAACAGAACCTCGATTTTGGATAAAAGACGATATTTCATTATCTAAATATATGATTTGTTCCGATTCAACAAAATTAGCTACGTGGCCATCGTCATTAGTTCCTCGAACATTGAATCTAAAAAAATAGATAGGGGAAGTTATTGTACAGTGAACATTCTTGAAATTTAAAAATAATTTCAGTTTTTACTTCGAAATTTAAGTTTTATTTCAATCTTAGGACAAAACTCTGGTTTTTAATTAGGGAAACAAATATTTTATTCTAAGTTATACTTTTTGAAGTAAAAATTATGGTGAATTGTAAAGGCCATGCCTTATCAAGGAGACACTAATGAAAATGGAAATGATTTTAAGATTTTCGTTCCTTTTTATTTCAAATTCGTAATATTTTTACCATGAAATGCAATACTTTTTTTTTTACAAAATTAGTTACTCTTGTTTAATAGTATTTCACATTTTGCACATTTGAGAGATTAATAGTCAAAGCGTTACTTCGTAGGTAACACAGTTCTTCCAAAAAATGTTAGCCAAAATGTTTACTAAGATGTCACCAAAAATGTTATCTGATGTGTCATGCCAAGGTTTTAGCTATAACTACCTATAAAGGTTGAGTTTAGTAATAAGCTGCTTAAATATGTAACTTACAGCTAAATGAACCTCCATAATTGGTCTTGACACCAGCATGATGCATAAAAATAACACGAATGTAAAAGTTATATAGTATTGCTTTTAATAAAGAGGGTAGTTGAATAAATTCTTTAAAAAAGAGAGAAAAACAATATTTGTTATGTAAATTTTTTCTTATTTTTTAACATAATATCCTTCTAGCTCAATACACTTTAACACAAGCCCCTCCAGTTTTTGTGAGCCTTCAGAAAAATATGATTGTGGCAATTTTTTACAATAAGCATTTGTGTAATGAATAATCTCTTTATTTGACATAAAACATCATCCACTGAGCTATTTTTTCAATTCAGAAATAAGAAGAAGTCCCTTAAGGCCAGATCCTGAAGAAATGGTGGATAATTCATTCATTCAAACTGTAATTCCTTAATTGGAGCCATGGAAACTGTAAGTGTATGCACTTGTCGTGGAAAAGAGGACTTTTTTCTTTAAATGAGGGCTACTCCTTCAATTTTTTTCTTTATGCTTATTATTAGCTGGCCAATTAATCATGCATGATATTGCCCAGTCATTGCCTATTCTTTTCTTCAAATAGTTCATAAAAATAATACCACGCGTATCCTAAAAATACAGTAACTAATCTTTCTAGCTGACTTTACCATCTTTACCTTCTTTCAAGCACATTTACTTTTGGCAATCTACTGTTATATCTGCTGTTTTATCTTAGGAGTGTATTAATGCAACCATATTTTATCTAAAGTAACTAACCTGAGCACATGAGCTCCATAAGATCCTTAGAAAAGATTACATGGTTGTGTATGTTCTCAGCTGAAAGCAAATGCATCATCCGTATCGAGATATTGTATAATATCTAATTTATCATAAAAAGTTGAAACTATAGTACCAAAACTATGGTATCAAAACTTGTGTAATCCTAGCTTCTTTACGCAATTGAATTCATTTATCACGTAATATCACACGGTGGATTTTATCGATCATTTCGTAAGTGCTCATGTTTATGAAACGTCCTGGCAGCTAGAGAGGTTTTTGTAGCCAATTGACTTTTACGAGAAAGAGTAAGCATTTTCAATGTATTTTTGGTCACAGAATCTGAATCTGAAACTTGTATTTTCGTAAAATTGTTCAATAATTGTTATTAACAGTTTAAATGTTTATAACGCAGTCGAAAACAGTAGGGAGCATTTTTGAATATAATAACTAAACAGTTTGATAACTGAACTCACCAGAAATGTGCTCGATCAAGAATTAAAAAAAAATGTTGATCAGAGCCAGAGAAATTGCAAATTTAGTGCAAAAAATTTATCGAACGGCGGTTTTCAAAGCTTTTCCACTTATAACTTGGCTTCACTTTAAGATATGAAGCTTTAACACCTCTCATTTTAAAGCTGAAAATCTAAGCTTTAACATAAATTATAGTAGTGACCTAAAATGATGTTGTAAAAAATATTTAATCACTTTAAAGTAATATTTTTTCATGAAAATGAGCTAAGTAATTTGTTTATAAGCATTTTTACCATAGATACATAAAAAGTATTACTATAAATATTTTTTACAGTTGTAGGACGATTAAAAACAAACATTTTGCGATATCAAGGATGTATTTAAGCTAATTATCCTCGGAGATATAACAGTTTTAAGGCGTGCGTATGGTACGCACGTGGTAGCTGCTCCACGTGGTTACATGAGGCTCGATAGGGTGGTTTACTGAAAGTGTATCGGGATATTTCTTAAAATTTAACATATTGAGTTTCATGGCAAAATGTATGAGTATAAATAATAAATATGTATTAATGTGTAAGATAATTAAGGTTAATATTAAACATAACGACTTAATGCGTAAAATAATTGTATATTTTTTAGTCACTTTTTTCTTCATTGTAAATTTTTTAGCATGTATTATTTGCATATGTATTAGTTGCACTGTTTAGTGTTGCATATTTGACAATTGTAATTTGGTTCAAGTTGTGCTATTGGTGGTGACAGATAATCATCATTTTTTTAAGGCAAAACTAGATTTTCTATTTTTTAATCCACGCAAAGTTCTAAGGATTTAAAATATNACTGATACAAAATTATTGAAGAAGTAATCGTGCAAAGTTACAACCCATTTTATAAAACTTTTTACATATTTAAATATAAAAATGATTCAAATTCCTTTAAAAATCACTAATGAAGTTAGTATTCTGCTATATAAAATTTTATTAAAATAAGTAAATACACAAATAAATATACTTAAAAAAAAAAAATTTTTTTGCCATATTAAGTAGTTTTTTAATTATTACGGTATGTATTTATTATTTACACTTTTATATTTGGACATAAGACTCAATATATTGAATTTTAAGAAATATCTCGATACACTTTCAGTAAGCCACCCTCTCGAGCCTCATGTAACCACGTGGAGCAGCTACCACATGCGTACAACACGCACGCCTTAAAACTGTTATATCTCCGAGGAAAGTTAGCTTAAATACATCCTTGATATCACAAAATGTTTGTTTTTAATCGTACTACAAATGTCAAAAATATTTATGGTAATACTTTTTATGTATCTATGGTAAAAATGCTTATAAACAAATTACTTAGCTCATTTTCATGAAAAAATATTACTTTAAAGTGATTAAATATTTTTTTCAACATCATTTTAGGTCACTACTATAATTTATGTTAAAGCTTAGATTTTCAGTTTTAAAATTAGAGGTGTTAAAGCTTCATATCTTAAAGTGAAGCCAAGTTATAAGCGGAAAAGCTTTGAAAACCGCCGTTACATAAATTTTTTGCACTAAATTTGCAATTTCTCTGGCTCTGATCAACGTTTTTTCAAAATTCTTGATCAAGCACATTTCTAGTGAGCTTAGTTATTAAACTCTTTAGTTATTTTATTTAAAAACGCTCCCTACTGTTTTCAACTGCGTTATAAACATTTAATCTGTTAATAACAGTTTTTTGAACAATTATACAAAAAAACAAGTTTTAGATTCAGATTCTGCGGAAAAAAATACATTAAAAAGGCTTATTCTTTCTCGCGGAAGTAAATTGGCTATGAAAACCTCCCTAGCTGCCGTACTAGTTCCACAAACTGTTGCAAATACAAGGGCAGATGTTTTACGAACGGAGTCAAACTCAGCTTTTATATCTTGTACTAGAAGGGATATAGATGTTGATGTACCGTTTTAGGCTCTTGTTTTTCCATTTTTTTTAGAAATAAAAGTTATGTTTCTAAACTGACGATAAGAACTTAACAACTAAAAAAGTATGATTATACCTTTGCCAGATACCTGGAAAGAATGATGCTCACTAAAAACATAACATTCACAATGCTACAAGTGATATTTCTTGTATTTTCCAAGTTTTTTTTATCCTCCCTTGTACTTAATGTTTTATTGTGGTACACTATACGTAAATCAATTGTAGAGTTTTTACTTGTACTAAATCTTTATTTTTACCATCATATCTCTTTCTTCTATGATAACCCTCTTTTTTTCCCTCGATCTTCTTTCATGCGAGCCCTAATGCAAAATTCCCCTTAGATGATTTGGTCATCTAAATTGTTAAACATTATTTCAGGGGACAGTGATTGTCTAAAGCATACGCCAACAATATGAGGTTTAGAGAAAGAATTTTGTTTATGTACTATTTAAATAAAGTTCTTAAGGAAGACCGTTTTAAAATTAATAATCACTTTACCAATGACTAGGCTGGATGTTGGCTTTCCTCTGGAAAACGAAGCCTTTCAAGTTTCAGACATCATTCAAAAAAATCCACTGATCGTCTTAAAAACTAGTTTGAATGTCTGGCCATCTATCTAGATAATAAAAAATTACTGTACACGAAATGGCTGTATCTGGTATTAATTTTGCATGATGAAAAATATTTGTCAAGACAGCGTTCATGGTCAGTACTACGAACTTTTAAACCCCAGCGGAAATTTGAAAACGTAACAAAATGTTAGAAAAAGTGAACATGTGTAATAATATGCCGTAACCCGCAAGAAAATGTAAGAAAATGTAAGGAACTGTAATAGTCTCATGGATTTCAGACGTTTCTTACACTTTATTATGTTGGGTTACGTTTTCTTACATTTTTATACGTTTTAATATGATTTAGCACATGCTGTTACACTAATACTTTTTCATAATAGTTCCTCAAGTTTTTTTCATTTAACGCAAATTTTATTCAAAAATGGAAGGAAATGTGTTTAAGTTATCAATGATGATAAAATATAAAAAAGTGTAATAAACTGCAAAAAACTGTAAGCTGTTATAAAACATTACAGATGACAACACCTCCTTACAGTTTATTAGAGTTTACTACAGTTGCTTTTTCACGAAATTCAAGTGTCTTTTTAAAATTATAATAAAATGTCACGAATCGTAAGACAATGTGTTGGGTTGTAGTTGACTATAATCAAACGTAACAAAACGTAACAAACTGTAACTGTGGTCCGAAATCCAACCAAACTGTACATTACAT